TATAAATAGTAGTGTGTGTGTGTGTGTGTGTGTGTGTGTGTGTGTGTGTGTGTGTGTGTGTGACTTATATAATCTTAAAATATTCCAGAACACGACTTGATGATGTTTAAAAGATTCAATGTTTGTAAAACGTCTTTCCTTTCTCTTATATAGCACTAAATTTAATTAAAGTAATCTAAATTGAAGTCAACAGCAATGTCAAGAAAATGACATGTAGATATATGTAATGTATATATATTCGCGTGAATGTGTCCGAACAGTGTATTAAATAAAAATTCATTTCGCTAGATCGAAAAAATTGCTCGTACATTTTCTGTGAGAATGCCTTTATAAGATGCCTTTTAGACACGCGTGTTATTTGGAATATTCTAATAAAAGGAAAGAGCAAATGATGCATTTACTTACATTTTTGGCGACGAAAGGCTCCTCTCTGCGAAGACATGCACACTTCGACATTTGACAGTCGACTGATGAAGTGATTGAGCGATACACGTGGTCAACCAACGATGCCGACGCGCGAGAAAATTAGCAACCACGCACACTGAAGAAAAATCATGTGCGCTTAGTTAGCGTCTTCGCGTCGGCTGCCTGATAGAAGAACGATCTTCTGTCTCATTTTTTCCAATTACATAATGACTCGAATATCTCTCGCTATATCATATATCTATTATGACAATGTTTTATATATAACAACAATAATATTCGTAACAAATTAAATAAAGATTAAATAAAGATATGTAATATAAAACAAATCGAAAATATGTTCAACAACCGAAAGGGACAGATAATTCCCTCGGCAAGATCTTAGATATCGAACAACTTTTTCTCAAAAATGTTACTCGATTTAATTAACTTTAATATTAACGACAGTCTTTGGAATTACCAATATGTTGTTTTTTATGTAAATGCTATTTCACGTATATTTTTCTTTAAAGTAATTATCTTTTTTCTTGCATTTAGAATATTTGGAGATTTATTATTCCGGTTGCACAGTTAATGTTTAAAAAAAAATGGATATTTTATGATATTGATTAAAGCCACATGATATCGCGTACAGATATAACAACTTACTTGCAAAAGGTTCTGCTAACAATACGAAATTTTACAAGGATGTAGTGAAATATCTTGCTTCCAATATACCGCAACATACGTTGCATCTAGATTTTATCCAATCCTTTTGTCAGGAACTATAAAAGAAATATTAATTTTCATTTTATGCAAAGAATATATAATTTCGAATTTATGTATTCCTATATGTATATAAATATTTAAATTTTTCAATATTAGTCAATTTTTATCTTAAATCAAATATACTATACAAATCTTAAAGAAAAATTGCAGCAGTATTTTATGTAAAAAACTGCAATAAGGCAAACTGTTCGATGCAGATAAAAATTTATTGGGATAAAAATAAATTATATCAATTGCTATTTAGATTATCATGGCAAGTTTAGGAATGCTTATTTTTAAAAACCTAAGACACTCACTATTTCAATAGCTGTTGTATGGCGTTGTATTGCTGTACAGGCGAAAAATACATTTCATTTCCCAGATTGGAATTTATTCGAACCAACGAATCAATTCACAGCTGCAATCGAAACGTATGTTGCCAATCACCAAGGAAATAATGTACATTAATGAAATATACAAGTAATATATTAAACAAATATAAAAACATAATATGCTCACATTAGAAAATTGAAGTATGAGATTTATCAAATTTGTCATACAATTAATTTATCAATTTGTGACATATATCTTAAAAAATATCTCAATACAAATATTATCAAAATCGAAGTATCAGGTAAAAATTTCAGTTAATTAATTGCAACGTTCTTATTTTTTACTATAAAATCAAAAAGATGTTTCAGAAACATACTTTACAAACGCTTCGGTAATTTTTGCTTCCTGATCGTAACGAGAAAAAACGCCGGGGTTTTTTTCCTCTTGTTGATATCAGTAAAGACAATGTCCAGCGTATCATTGCCAATATCGTTCAAGTATAATTGTCTATTTCACACTTCTCGATATTTCAATTAATTTTTCAATTAATTTTGCGATCTCGTAGATCAGTTGCTTTTTCAATTTCTTTATTATTAATTCTCACAATTTCTTTCTAGATATTGAAACATATTGATGAAGAGATATTCTGAATTGCATGCATTGCAGTACATTTTGTAATAAAATGTATTTTGCGCCTAACGCAGTGAAATGTTAAAAAAACATCGTGCGCTATGCGCGGTAAATTGTAATACAACGTATTCTGCGCTTTGCGCAGTTAAATATTAAAAAGTATTCTGCGCTGTGCGCAGTGAAATGTTAAAGAATATCCTGCGCTATGCGCAGTAGAATATAGTCGAAGACATTCTGCGCTATGCGCAGTAAATTGTAGGCGTATAGTTCATTTGATTTTAGATTATATTTTAGATTATATTTTGCTTTTTCACTTAAATTTCAATTTCTTGATATGTTGCTTTCTCCTCATCTTTTTTACGGGAGCGTCCCAGATGCGCACATTTTCAATCGGACACACCATTCACATTAGCCGATGCCTAGGAATTTTCTAATGAGCTACCTATCAAAAATTTTTTTATTTAATCGACCAATCGGCAATATGTCCGATTGGACCTCACCCTTTTTTACATCTTCTTTTCTTTCATCTTTTATAAATTTATTACATCTCTACATTATATATATATAT